AGGCAAGAGATGGTTGGGCTCCAGTTGAGCCTTTACAATCAGTGTCCTGCTTGCCCTCTGAAATGGAAGTAACAACAGAAAGAGGGTAAATAGCCAGTGTCTGTCTCTTATGAACACTTTCATAGCCATGGGAAGGGCAAAGAGGGACAAACTCCTGCTTGAGTCAAGGATGAAGAGATCTCCCCTCCCCCCACCCCCCCTTTGGTTCAAGGGAAACACTACACATGCGCAGAGAGGCTCCTTGTGGGTGAAAAGTCCCGCGAAAATGCCAGACCATAATGAGCCTTGCTTCTCCCAGTAGCCTCCACTTGGAGATCCATCTTGGCTGAGGGGTATGTGCACACCAGGGGAGAGTCGCAGGATAGTTCAGATGGGAAGAGATAAACCAGAAACTTTGCAGGAAGGAAGACAAAGACCCAGAAGAACTGGCCTGTCTAAATGACTTAACTGCCTTGTGGTTATTGTGCTCCTTCTCACTAGGGGGCGCCCATAACCTTTCTCTCCAGGTGTGTCTCTCTGCTTTGCTTCTGTCTTAACGAGACCAGCTGTTTCTCCGTGTGCTTTCCCACATGTTGCTGTGCTGTGTCACTAATAATAAACGTTGTACCTGCATTTACCGATTCTGCCTCCATGATAAATGCATTTTTCACTGGTCAAAGATCCAGGGAAACTTGGCTTCTAGCCTCTAGCCCTTGCTGGTCTGGCGGCTAGGATTCCTGGTTTTGGTTCAGGCTACCCAGGGTCAGTTCCTAGGCAGCGAAGTAGATCTCACTTCAGGCCACCACTCACTGCTGCCTCACTGAGATCAACTCAATGTTTATCACCATTTAATCTACATCATCTACATTGTCGCAACTATTTTGTAACTTTTCGGAAAAGGACTTCTTAGGGATTAACATACTGATATTTCCATAAGGGGGAAATACTTCTTCCCTGAAACTGTGTTGAGAACATTTGATCTTAAGAAAATGTGTTTTAACGTAGCAGAATTTTTATTTTATCTTTACAATCTAGCATTTGTTAAATCCTTAACTGCTCATAACTGTTGGGGCTTCCCTGGTGGCTCAGCTGGTGAAGAATCCACCTGCAATGCAGGAGACCTGGGTTCGATCCCTGGGTTGCAAAGGCCCCCTGGAGAAGGGAAACGGCTACCCCCTCTAGTATTCTGGCCTGGAGAATTCCATGCACTGTATAGTCCATGCGTTCGCAGAGTCAGACATGACTGAGCGACTTTCACTCTTCACCAGCAACGGTTCGGCCTGAAATAAGAACTTTCAAAAATCTTTGAACACAGACGCTCTTATTTTCCCTCTGGGATAAATATTTTGCATTTTCTTTCAGGACATATATACACAATAGGCACAGAACTCTCTTCTTATGTATTTTATTTGCATATAAATTAACATCCTAGAAACTTTAAAATAGAAACACTAAATACAGTGTTGCACAGAGCAAACTCTGTTAAATGCCCCATTATCTCACTGAAGTTCCTATACACATGCAGGGACTGAAGGAGACAGGAAGCTGGCAGAAGAGCAACCTGAGAGCCACTACTGAGTCTGTGCACATCAACTACAGACTGCAAGTTAAGGGCAGTATTTTACATAAATAGGAACATCGTTACAATTCAGATTTCCTTTTGAAGTTGCCTCCATCATTGGTTTGCAATCGCAACAGATTCTCCCCTCTTTTCATGGCCATACCGCAACACATATCATTTTTAAATATGTATTAATGTTAGACAAAGCCATCACAATGCTTCAGGAGTGACTTCAAGAAAACTCCAATCAAGTCACAGTACTCAGGCAGGTGGGTTTAATAAACAAGTCCTAGGTAGATATCAATCCATCTAAAAGTGGGCAGTAATATCTGAACACATCTAGGATTTCCTTTTAAACACATGCTCCAAGGAAATCAATACTGAATTTACCAGAGGAACAGTAAAAAGAGGACATCACTGGAAGGGATTTTGCACAGCCAGTCTGGCCCTGCGGTCTGACGCTGGGGTAGCATCTGCTCACTTGGCCCGTGTGTCCCTCAGGGGGGTCACGGGCTCAAGAGTGCAGAGCGAGTATCATCACTAGGACTGCCCAGAGCTGCTGCGAACATCCAAAACGTTTCCCTTGAAGAGTTCTTTAGAGGGCTTCCCTGGCGATCCAGTGGCTGCTCCCAATGCAGGGGCCTGGGTTCAATCTCTGGTCAGTGAACTAGATCCCATCCCCTGCAAGGAAGAGTTTGCACGCCACAATGAAAGATCCCATGTGTGGCAACCAAGACCTAGTGCAGCTTACAGAAAAGAAAAAAGGCACTAAGCGTTCTTTAGAAAGTGCTATACAATGCTATGAATGATTGCTTCTACTCAGCAAATGGTAAGAAAATATGTGTATTAGTTGCTCAGCTGTGTCCGACTCTTTGTGACTCCATGGACTGTGGCCTCCCAAGTTCCTCTGTCCGTTGAATTCCCTAGGCAAGAATAGTGGAAGAGGTTGCCATTCCCTTCTCCAGGCAATCTTCTCAACCCAGGCATGGAACCCAGGTCTCCTGCATTGCAGACAGATTCTTGACCACCTGAGCCACCAGGGAAGCCCAGGAAATACAAAGACCGGAATCCTATTAATCAAGACAGGTGCCATTAGATATGTGCCATTAGAGAGAAAATAACCTACTAGATTAATTTAGTTTTATTATTGCGATTCTCCTTGGGAATCAAAAATAGGGTACTTCTGGAGAAACTGACAAAGCTGTGATTTATCTTAATAAAAGACTTCTTATGGAGATCTTGAAACCTGTTTCCTGAAAGAAATGAGTTCTAAATATATTTCTTAAGCCTGATGGCAAAGGTTCTAATGACAGAATTCATCTCCCATGCAGCTCAATGAATCCCTGTTTTTATTTTTTTTTTCATTTATTTTTATTAGTTGGAGGCTAATTAATTTACAGTTTTTTTTGTCACGAATTAGCCATGGATTTACATGTATTCCCCATCCCGATCCCCCCTCCCACCTCCGTCTCGACCCGATCCCTTTGGCTCATCCCAGTGCACCACGTCCGAGCACTTGTCTCATGCCTCCAACCTGGGCTGGTGATCTGATTCACCCTAGATAATATACATGTTTCGATGCTGTTCTCTTGAAACATCCCACCCTCGCCTTCTCCCACAGAGTCCAAAAGTCTGTTCTATACATCTGTGTGTCTTTTTCTGTTTTGCACATAGGGTTATCGTTACCATCTTTCTAAATTCCATATATATGTGTTAGTATACTGTAATGGTCTTTAACTTTCTGGCTTACTTCAGTCTGTATAACAGGCTCCACTTTCATCCATCTCATTAGAACTGATTCAAATGAATTCTTTGCAATGACTGAGTAAGATTCCATGGTGTATATGTACCACAGCTTCCTTATCCATTCGTCTGCTGATGGGCATCTAGGTTGCTTCCATGCCCTGCCTGTTATAAATGGTGGTGCGATGAACATTGCGGTGCAGGTGTCTCTTTCAGATCTGGTTTCCTCGGCGTGTATGCCCAGAAGTGGGATTGCTGGGTCATATGGCAGTTCTATTTCCAGTTTTTTTTTTAAGAAATCTCCACACTGTTTTCCATCGCGGCTGAACTAGTTTGCATTCCCACCAACAGTGTAAGAGGGTTCCCTTTTCTCCACACCCTCTCCAGCATTTATTGCTTGTAGACTTTTTGGATAGCAGCCATCCTGACTGGCGTGTAATGTACAGCATTGTGGTTTTGATTTGAACTTCTCTGATACTGAGTGATGCTGAGCATCTTTTCATGTGTCTTTTAGCCATCTGTATGTCTTCCTTGGAGAAATGTCTGTTTAGTTCTTTGGCCCATTTTTGGATTGGGTCATTTATTTTTCTGGAGTAGAGCTGGAGGGGTTGCTTGTATATTTTTGAGTTTAATCCTTTGTGTGTTGCTTCATTTGCTATTATTTTCTCCCAATCTGAGGGCTGTCTTTTCACCTTGCTTTTAGTTTCCTTTGTTGTGCAAAAGCTTTTCAGTTTCATTAGGTCCCATTTGTATACTTTCGCTATTGTTTCTCATATTCTGGGATGTGGGTCATAGAGGATCCTGCTGTGATTTATGTCAGGGAGTGTTTTGCCTATGTTCTCCTCTAGGAGTTTTATAGTTTCTGGGCTTATGTTTAGATCTTTAATCCGTTTTGAGTTTCTTTCTGTGTATGGTGTTAGAAAGTGTTGTAGTTTGATTCTTTTACAGGTGGTTGACCAGTTTTCCCAGCACCGCTTGTTAAAGAGGTTGTCTGTTTTCCATTGAATATCCTTGCCTCCTTTGTCGAAGATAAGGTGACCATAGGTTCGTGGATTTATCTCTGGGCTTTCTATTCTGTTGCATTGATCTATGTTTCTGTCTTTGTGCCAGTACCATACCATCTTGATGACTGTGGCTTTGTGGTATAGTCTGAAGTCAGGCAGGTTGATTCTTGCAGTTCCATTCTTCTTTCTGAAGATTACTTTGGCTATTGGAGGTTTTTGTATTTCCATACAAATTGTGGAATTATTTGTTCTAGTTCTGTGAAAACTACGGTTGGTAGCTTGATAGGGATTGCATTGATTCTATAGATTGCTTTGGGTAGTATAGCCATTTTGACAATTTTGAGAATCCCTGTTGTTAAACAACAGAATGAATCAAATCGTTGAGTGCAGCAGCTATGAGGTTACTGTTACAGCTCACAGTAAGGCAAGAAGGATCAAAGTAACTGTTTTTTGTTTGTTTGTTTGTTTAGCAGTTGGTGAAAATCCAGTCGATGCTGTCTGAAGTGTACTTAGAACTCTTGAAGGAAGAGTTTTAAGGACGTCAGGAAGGTCCTGTGATTGGCGGACGGCTTGGCGAGGAGGGGGGCCGCGTTCGGGCGAAGGGGCGGGGCTGAAGGCGCTCGGGTGGACCTCGCTGGTGGCTCCCGGTGGGTCTGGGCCCCGCGCAGGTGCCAGGCAGGATAGGCGCTCAGGGCCCCGGCTGCGCTCCGCTTATGCCCGCGGGAGGCTCAGAGGACCGAGGGCCGCGGTCCGCGGCGGGCCCGAATCAGACACCTCCGGGGCCACGTGTCCCTGAGCCACAAACGGGAGTGGGCAGGGGGGGCGCCAACAGGGGGCGGGCCTGGAGAGGCCCAGGCCGGGAGGGCGACGAGACCTCCGCGCCCCTCAGCCCAACCCCAAGCCCAGGCATGCACACCCGACCGGCCGCTCGGGGTCCGGAAACACTCCAGACCCCCGTGCCGGGCCAGGTTTGCTGGCCAGGGTTGCCGGTGTGTGGGGACGGGGTGGTTTCGGCTGGGCTGTGGCCGGCACGCCCCGTGGAAAGGTGAGGCCGGCTGGCTCGACACGGCACATCAGGGCGAAAAGGAGGCGCAGCGCAGGGTTTTTAAAGGCCCCTGGCGACAGCCGCCTCCATCTAAGATCATACCACCTTGAATAGGCCAGATGTCTTCTCATCTGGGAAACTATGCAGGGTTAGTTAGTACTTGGATGGGAGACCCCCTGGTAGTTAGGAGCTCCAGGCTTTTGCACAAAGTAGACGGCAAGCCAATGTATAGCTGATGAAAATTTATGGTGAAAAATTCAAATAGACCTGAATTCAAAGATGGTTTATGGCATAAAAGCAAGTGTTTTCCATGAGGTTTCCCCCCACCCCCATTAACATGCATAATGGTTTCCATAGCATCATGCTTAGTTTTTATTCCTTCTTTCCTTGTCTATATCCATCATTTTGCACCATGATGTGGTGCCCCATTGGCATAATTTTCCACCTTTTGTCTTCCCATAATGCTGCTGTAGGAGACAGATGGACTCCAGGTTAGGCATTGACATCTAGCCTGTTTACATTTCCTGAGGCAAGAGATGGTTGGGCTCCAGTTGAGCCTTTACAATCAGTGTCCTGCTTGCCCTCTGAAATGGAAGTAACAACAGAAAGAGGGTAAATAGCCAGTGTCTGTCTCTTATGAACACTTTCATAGCCATGGGAAGGGCAAAGAGGGACAAACTCCTGCTTGAGTCAAGGATGAAGAGATCTCCCCTCCCCCCACCCCCCCTTTGGTTCAAGGGAAACACTACACATGCGCAGAGAGGCTCCTTGTGGGTGAAAAGTCCCGCGAAAATGCCAGACCATAATGAGCCTTGCTTCTCCCAGTAGCCTCCACTTGGAGATCCATCTTGGCTGAGGGGTATGTGCACACCAGGGGAGAGTCGCAGGATAGTTCAGATGGGAAGAGATAAACCAGAAACTTTGCAGGAAGGAAGACAAAGACCCAGAAGAACTGGCCTGTCTAAATGACTTAACTGCCTTGTGGTTATTGTGCTCCTTCTCACTAGGGGGCGCCCATAACCTTTCTCTCCAGGTGTGTCTCTCTGCTTTGCTTCTGTCTTAACGAGACCAGCTGTTTCTCCGTGTGCTTTCCCACATGTTGCTGTGCTGTGTCACTAATAATAAACGTTGTACCTGCATTTACCGATTCTGCCTCCATGATAAATGCATTTTTCACTGGTCAAAGATCCAGGGAAACTTGGCTTCTAGCCTCTAGCCCTTGCTGGTCTGGCGGCTAGGATTCCTGGTTTTGGTTCAGGCTACCCAGGGTCAGTTCCTAGGCAGCGAAGTAGATCTCACTTCAGGCCACCACTCACTGCTGCCTCACTGAGATCAACTCAATGTTTATCACCATTTAATCTACATCATCTACATTGTCGCAACTATTTTGTAACTTTTCGGAAAAGGACTTCTTAGGGATTAACATACTGATATTTCCATAAGGGGGAAATACTTCTTCCCTGAAACTGTGTTGAGAACATTTGATCTTAAGAAAATGTGTTTTAACGTAGCAGAATTTTTATTTTATCTTTACAATCTAGCATTTGTTAAATCCTTAACTGCTCATAACTGTTGGGGCTTCCCTGGTGGCTCAGCTGGTGAAGAATCCACCTGCAATGCAGGAGACCTGGGTTCGATCCCTGGGTTGCAAAGGCCCCCTGGAGAAGGGAAACGGCTACCCCCTCTAGTATTCTGGCCTGGAGAATTCCATGCACTGTATAGTCCATGCGTTCGCAGAGTCAGACATGACTGAGCGACTTTCACTCTTCACCAGCAACGGTTCGGCCTGAAATAAGAACTTTCAAAAATCTTTGAACACAGACGCTCTTATTTTCCCTCTGGGATAAATATTTTGCATTTTCTTTCAGGACATATATACACAATAGGCACAGAACTCTCTTCTTATGTATTTTATTTGCATATAAATTAACATCCTAGAAACTTTAAAATAGAAACACTAAATACAGTGTTGCACAGAGCAAACTCTGTTAAATGCCCCATTATCTCACTGAAGTTCCTATACACATGCAGGGACTGAAGGAGACAGGAAGCTGGCAGAAGAGCAACCTGAGAGCCACTACTGAGTCTGTGCACATCAACTACAGACTGCAAGGTAAGGGCAGTATTTTACATAAATAGAAACATCGTTACAATTCAGGTTTCCTTTTGAAGTTGCCTCCATCATTGGTTTGCAATCGCAACAGATTCTCCCCTCTTTTCATGGCCATACCGCAACACATATCATTTTTAAAAATGTATTAATGTTAGACAAAGCCATCACAATGCTTCAGGAGTGACTTCAAGAAAACTCCAATCAAGTCACAGTACTCAGGCAGGTGGGTTTAATAAACAAGTCCTAGGTAGATATCAATCCATCTAAAAGTGGGCAGTAATATCTGAACACATCTAGGATTTCCTTTTAAACACATGCTCCAAGGAAAGCAATACTGAATTTACCAGAGGAACAGTAAAAAGAGGACATCACTGGGAGGGATTTTGCACAGCCAGTCTGGCCCTGCGGTCTGACGCTGGGGTAGCATCTGCTCACTTGGCCCGTGTGTCCCTCAGGGGGGTCACGGGCTCAAGAGTGCAGAGCGAGTATCATCACTAGGACTGCCCAGAGCTGCTGCGAACATCCAAAACGTTTCCCTTGAAGAGTTCTTTAGAGGGCTTCCCTGGCGATCCAGTGGCTGCTCCCAATGCAGGGGCCTGGGTTCAATCTCTGGTCAGTGAACTAGATCCCATCCCCTGCAAGGAAGAGTTTGCACGCCACAATGAAAGATCCCATGTGTGGCAACCAAGACCTAGTGCAGCTTACAGAAAAGAAAAAAGGCACTAAGCGTTCTTTAGAAAGTGCTATACAATGCTATGAATGATTGCTTCTACTCAGCAAATGGTAAGAAAATATGTGTATTAGTTGCTCAGCTGTGTCCGACTCTTTGTGACTCCATGGACTGTGGCCTCCCAAGTTCCTCTGTCCGTTGAATTCCCTAGGCAAGAATAGTGGAAGAGGTTGCCATTCCCTTCTCCAGGCGATCTTCTCAACCCAGGCATGGAACCCAGGTCTCCTGCATTGCAGACAGATTCTTGACCACCTGAGCCACCAGGGAAGCCCAGGAAATACAAAGACCAGAATCCTATTAATCAAGACAGGTGCCATTAGAGAGAAAATAACCTACTAGATTAATTTAGTTTTATTATTGCGATTCTCCTTGGGAATCAAAAATAGGGTACTTCTGGAGAAACTGACAAAGCTGTGATTTATCTTAATAAAAGACTTCTTATGGAGATCTTGAAACCTGTTTCCTGAAAGAAATCAGTTCTAAATATATTTCTTAAGCCTGATGGCAAAGGTTCTAATGACAGAATTCATCTCCCCTGCAGCTCAGTGAATCCCTGTTTTTATTTTTTTTTTCATTTATTTTTATTAGTTGGAGGCTAATTACTTTACAGTTTTTTTGTCACGAATTAGCCATGGATTTACATGTATTCCCTATCCCGATCCCCCCTCCCACCTCCGTCTCGACCCGATCCCTTTGGCTCTTCCCAGTGCACCAGGTCCGAGCACTTGTCTCATGCATCCAACCTGGGCTGGTGATCTGATTCACCCTAGATAATATACATGTTTCGATGGTGTTCTCTTGAAACATCCCACCCTCGCCTTCTCCCACAGAGTCCAAATGTCTGTTCTATACATCTGTGTGTCTTTTTCTGTTTTGCACATAGGGTTATCGTTACCATCTTTCTAAATTCCATATATATGTGTTAGTATACTGTAATGGTCTTTAACTTTCTGGCTTACTTCAGTCTGTATAACAGGCTCCACTTTCATCCATCTCATTAGAACTGATTCAAATGAATTCTTTGCAATGACTGAGTAAGATTCCATGGTGTATATGTACCACAGCTTCCTTATCCATTCGTCTGCTGATGGGCATCTAGGTTGCTTCCATGCCCTGCCTGTTATAAATGGTGGTGCGATGAACATTGGGGTGCAGGTGTCTCTTTCAGATCTGGTTTCCTCGGCGTGTATGCCCAGAAGTGGGATTGCTGGGTCATATGGCAGTTCTATTTCCAGTTTTTTTTTAAGAAATCTCCACACTGTTTTCCATAGCGGCTGAACTAGTTTGCATTCCCACCAACAGTGTAAGAGGGTTCCCTTTTCTCCACACCCTCTCCAGCATTTATTGCTTGTAGACTTTTTGGATAGCAGCCATCCTGACTGGCGTGTAATGTACAGCATTGTGGTTTTGATTTGAACTTCTCTGATACTGAGTGATGCTGAGCATCTTTTCATGTGTCTTTTAGCCATCTGTATGTCTTCCTTGGAGAAATGTCTGTTTAGTTCTTTGGCCCATTTTTGGATTGGGTCATTTATTTTTCTGGAGTAGAGCTGGAGGGGTTGCTTGTATATTTTTGAGTTTAATCCTTTGTGTGTTGCTTCATTTGCTATTATTTTCTCCCAATCTGAGGGCTGTCTTTTCACCTTGCTTTTAGTTTCCTTTGTTGTGCAAAAGCTTTTCAGTTTCATTAGGTCCCATTTGTATACTTTTGCTATTGTTTCTCATATTCTGGGATGTGGGTCATAGAGGATCCTGCTGTGATTTATGTCAGGGAGTGTTTTGCCTATGTTCTCCTCTAGGAGTTTTATAGTTTCTGGGCTTATGTTTAGATCTTTAATCCGTTTTGAGTTTCTTTCTGTGTATGGTGTTAGAAAGTGTTGTAGTTTGATTCTTTTACAGGTGGTTGACCAGTTTTCCCAGCACCGCTTGTTAAAGAGGTGGTCTTTTTTCCATTGAATATCCTTGCCTCCTTTGTCGAAGATAAGGTGACCATAGGTTCGTGGATTTATCTCTGGGCTTTCTATTCTGTTGCATTGATCTATGTTTCTGTCTTTTTGCCAGTACCATACCATCTTGATGACTGTGGCTTTGTGGTATAGTCTGAAGTCAGGCAGGTTGATTCCTGCAGTTCCATTCTTCTTTCTGAAGATTACTTTGGCTATTGGAGGTTTTTGTATTTCCATACAAATTGTGGAATTATTTGTTCTAGTTCTGTGAAAACTACGGTTGGTAGCTTGATAGGGATTGCATTGAATCTATAGATTGCTTTGGGTAGTATAGCCATTTTGACAATTTTGAGAATCCCTGTTGTTAAACAACAGAATGAATCAAATCGTTGAGTGCAGCAGCTATGAGGTTACTGTTACAGCTCACAGTAAGGCAAGAAGGATCAAAGTAACTGTTTTTTGTTTGTTTGTTTGTTTAGCAGTTGGTGAAAATCCAGTCGATGCTGTCTGAAGTGTACTTAGAACTCTTGAAGGAAGAGTTTTAAGGACGCCAGGAAGGTCCTGTGATTGGCGGACGGCTTGGCGAGGAGGGGGGCCGCGTTCGGGCGAAGGGGCGGGGCTGAAGGCGCTCGGGTGGACCTCGCTGGTGGCTCCCGGTGGGTCTGGGCCCCGCGCAGGTGCCAGGCAGGATAGGCCCTCAGGGCCCCGGCTGCGCTCCGCTTATGCCCGCGGGAGGCTCAGAGGACCGAGGGCCGCGGTCCGCGGCGGGCCCGAATCAGACACCTCCGGGGCCACGTGTCCCTGAGCCACAAACGGGAGTGGGCAGGGGGGGCGCCGACAGGGGGCGGGCCTGGAGAGGCCGAGGCCGGGAGGGCGACGAGACCTCCGCGCCCCTCAGCCCAACCCCAAGCCCAGGCATGCACACCCGACCGGCCGCTCGGGGTCCGGAAACACTCCAGACCCCCGTGCCGGGCCAGGTTTGCTGGCCAGGGTTGCCGGTGTGTGGGGACGGGGCGGTTACGGCCGGGCTGTGGCCGGCGCGACCCGTGGAAAGGTGAGGCCGGCTGGCTCGACACGGCACATCAGGGCGAAAACGAGGCGCAGCGCAGGGTTTTTAAAGGCCCCTGGCGACAGCCGCCTCCATCTAAGATCATACCACCTTGAATAGGCCAGATGTCTTCTCATCTGGGAAACTATGCAGGGTTAGTTAGTACTTGGATGGGAGACCCCCTGGTAGTTAGGAGCTCCAGGCTTTTGCACAAAGTAGACGGCAAGCCAGTGTATAGCTGATGAAAAGTTTATGGTGAAAAATTCAAATAGACTTGAATTCAAAGATGGTTTATGGCATAAAAGCAAGTGTTTTCCATGAGGTTTCCCCCCACCCCCCATTAACTTGCATAATGGTTTCCCTTAGCATCATGCTTAGCTTTTATTCCTTCTTTCCTTGTCTGTATCCATCTTTTTGCACCATCATGTGGTGCCCCATTGGCATAATTTTCCACCTTTTGTCTTCCCATAATGCTGCTGTAGGAGACAGATGGACTCCAGGTTAGGCATTGACATCTAGCCTGTTTACATTTCCTGAGGCAAGAGATGGTTGGGCTCCAGTTGAGCCTTTACAATCAGTGTCCTGCTTGCCCTCTGAAATGGAAGTAACAACAGAAAGAGGGTAAATAGCCAGTGTCTGTCTCTTATGAACACTTTCATAGCCATGGGAAGGGCAAAGAGGGACAAACTCCTGCTTGAGTCAAAGATGAAGAGATCTCCCCTCCCCCCACCCCCCTTTCGGTTCAAGGGAAACACTACACATGCGCAGAGAGGCTCCTTGTGGGTGAAAAGTCCCGCGAAAATGCCAGACCATAATGAGCCTTGCTTCTCCCAGAAGCCTCCACTTGGAGATCCATCTTGGCTGAGGGGTATGTGCACACCAGGGGAGAGTCCCAGGATAGGTCAGATGGGAAGAGAGAAACCAGAAACTTGGCAGGAAGGAAGACAAAGACCCAGAAGAACTGGCCTGTCTAAATGACTTAACTGCCTTGTGGTTATTGTGCTCCTTCTCACTAGGGGGCGCCCATAACCTTTCTCTCCAGGTGTGTCTCTCTGCTTTGCTTCTGTCCTAACGAGACCAGCTGTTTCTCCGTGTGCTTTCCCACATGTTGCTGTGCTGTGTCACTAATAATAAACGTTGTACCTGCATTTACCGATTCTGCCTCCATGATAAATGCATTTTTCACTGGTCAAAGATCCAGGGGAACTTGGCTTCTAACCTCTAGCCCTTGTTTGTCTGGCGGGTAGGATTCCTGGTTTTGGTTCAGGCTACCCAGGGTCCGTTCCTGGGCAGCGAAGTAGATCTCACTTCAGGCCACCACTCACTGCTGCCTCACTGAGATCAACTCAATGTTTATCACCATTTAATCTACATCATCTACATTGTCACATCTATTTTGTAACTTTTCGGAAAAGGTCTTCTTAGGGATTAACATACTGATATTTCCATAAGGGGGAAATACTTCTTCCCTGAAACTGCGTTGAGAACATTTGATCTTAAGAAAATGTGTTTTAACGTAGCAGAATTATTATTTTATCTTTACAATCTAGCATTTGTTAAATCCTTAACTGTTCATAACTGTTGGGGCTTCCCTGGTGGCTCAGCTGGTGAAGAATCCACCTGCAATGCAGGAGACCTGGGTTCAATCCCTGGGTTGCAAAGACCCCCTGGAGAAGGGAAACGGCTACCCACTCTAGTATTCTGGCCTGGAGAATTCCATGCACTGTATAGTCCATGCGTTCACAGAGTCAGACATGACTGAGCGACTTTCACTCTTCACCAGCAACGGTTCGGCCTGAAATAAGAACTTTCAAAAATCTTTGAACACAGACGCTCTTATTTTCCCTCTGGGATAAATATTTCGCATTTTCTTTTAGGACATATATACACAATAGGCACAGAACTCTCTTCTTATGTATTTTATTTGCATATAAATTAACATCCTAGAACCTTTAAAATAGAAACACTAAATACAGTGTTGCACAGAGCAAACTCTGTTAAATGCCCCATTATCTCACTGAAGTTCCTATACACATGCAGGGACTGAAGGAGACAGGAAGCTGGCAGAAGAGCAACCTGAGAGCCACTACTGTGTCTGTGCACATCAACTACAGACTGCAAGGTAAGGGCAGTATTTTACATAAATAGAAACATCGTTACAATTCAGGTTTCCTTTTGAAGTTGCCTCCATCATTGGTTTGCAATCGCAACAGATTCTCCCCTCTTTTCATGGCCATACCGCAACACATATCATTTTTTAAAATGTATTAATGTTAGACAAAGCCATCACAATGCTTCAGGAGTTACTTCAAGAAAACTCCAATCAAGTCACAGTACTCAGGCAGGTGGGTTTAATAAACAAGTCCTAGGTAGATATCAATCCATCTAAAAGTGGGCAGTAATATCTGAACTCATCTAGGATTTCCTTTTAAACACATGCTCCAAGGAAAGCAATACTGAATTTACCAGAGGAACAGTAAAAAGAGCACATCACTGGAAGGGATTTTGCACAGCCAGTCTGGCCCTGCGGTCTGACGCTGGGGTAGCATCTGCTCACTTGGCCCCTGTGCCCTCAGGGAAGTCACGGGCTCAAGAGTGCAGAGCGAGTATCATCACTAGGACTGCCCAGAGCTGCTGCGAACATCCAAAACGTTTCCCTTGAAGAGTTGTTTAGAGGGCTTCCCTGGCGATCCAGTGGCTGCTCCCAATGCAGGGGCCTGGGTTCAATCTCTGGTCAGTGAACTAGATCCCATCCCCTGCAAGGAAGAGTTTGCACGCCACAATGAAAGATCCCATGTGTGGCAACCAAGACCTAGTGCAGCTTACAGAAAAGAAAAAAGGCACTAAGCGTTCTTTAGAAAGTGCTATACAATGCTATGAATGATTGCTTCTACTCAGCAAATGGTAAGAAAATATGTGTATTAGTTGCTCAGCTGTGTCCGACTCTTTGTGACTCCATGGACTGTGGCCTCCCAAGTTCCTCTGTCCGTTGAATTCCCTAGGCAAGAATAGTGGAAGAGGTTGCCATTCCCTTCTCCAGGCGATCTTCTCAACCCAGGCATGGAACCCAGGTCTCCTGCATTGCAGACAGATTCTTGACCACCTGAGCCACCAGGGAAGCCCAGGAAATACAAAGACCAGAATCCTATTAATCAAGACAGGTGCCATTAGAGAGAAAATAACCTACAAGATTAATTTAGTTTTATTATTGCGATTCTCCTTGGGAATCAAAAATAGGGTACTTCTGGAGAAACTGACAAAGCTGTGATTTATCTTAATAAAAGACTTCTTATGGAGATCTTGAAACCTGTTTCCTGAAAGAAATCAGTTCTAAATATATTTCTTAAGCCTGGTGGCAAAGGTTCTAATGACAGAATTCATCTCCCCTGCAGCTCAATGAATCCCTGTTTTTATTTTTTTTTTCATTTATTTTTATTAGTTGGAGGCTAATTACTTTACAGTTTTTTTGTCACGAATTAGCCATGGATTTACATGTATTCCCTATCCCGATCCCCCCTCCCACCTCCGTCTCGACCCGATCCCTTTGGCTCTTCCCAGTGCACCAGGTCCGAGCACTTGTCTCATGCATCCAACCTGGGCTGGTGATCTGATTCACCCTAGATAATATGCATGTTTCGATGGTGTTCTCTTGAAACATCCCACCCTCGCCTTCTCCCACAGAGTCCAAATGTCTGTTCTATACATCTGTGTGTCTTTTTCTGTTTTGCACATAGGGTTATCGTTACCATCTTTCTAAATTCCATATATATGTGTTAGTATACTGTAATGGTCTTTAACTTTCTGGCTTACTTCAGTCTGTATAACAGGCTCCACTTTCATCCATCTCATTAGAACTGATTCAAATGAATTCTTTGCAATGACTGAGTAAGATTCCATGGTGTATATGTACCACAGCTTCCTTATCCATTCGTCTGCTGATGGGCATCTAGGTTGCTTCCATGCCCTGCCTGTTATAAATGGTGGTGCGATGAACATTGGGGTGCAGGTGTCTCTTTCAGATCTGGTTTCCTCGGCGTGTATGCCCAGAAGTGGGATTGCTGGGTCATATGGCAGTTCTATTTCCAGTTTTTTTTTAAGAAATCTCCACACTGTTTTCCATAGCGGCTGAACTAGTTTGCATTCCCACCAACAGTGTAAGAGGGTTCCCTTTTCTCCACACCCTCTCCAGCATTTAATGCTTGTAGACTTTTTGGATAGCAGCCATCCTGACTGGCGTGTAATGGTACCGCATTGTGGTTTTGATTTGCAGTTCTCTGATACTGAATGATGCTGAGCATCTTTTCATGTGTCTTTTAGCCATCTGTATGTCTTCCTTGGAGAAATGTCTGTTTAGTTCTTTGGCCCATTTTTGGATTGGGTCATTTATTTTTCTGGAGTTGAGCTGGAGGGGTTGCTTGTATATTTTTGAGTTTAATCCTTTGTGTGTTGCTTCATTTGCTATTATTTTCTCCCAATCTGAGGGCTGTCTTTTCACCTTGCTTTTAGTTTCCTTTGTTGTGCAAAAGCTTTTCAGTTTCATTAGGTCCCATTTGTATACTTTTGCTATTGTTTCTCATATTCTGGGATGTGGGTCATAGAGGATCCTGCTGTGATTTATGTCAGGGAGTGTTTTGCCTATGTTCTCCTCTAGGAGTTTTATAGTTTCTGGGCTTATGTTTAGATCTTTAATCCGTTTTGAGTTTCTTTCTGTGTATGGTGTTAGAAAGTGTTGTAGTTTGATTCTTTTACAGGTGGTTGACCAGTTTTCCCAGCACCGCTTGTTAAAGAGGTTGTCTGTTTTCCATTGTATATCCTTGCCTCCTTTGTCGAAGATAAGGTGACCATAGGTTCGTGGATTTATCTCTGGGCTTTCTATTCTGTTGCATTGATCTATGTTTCTGTCTTTGTGCCAGTACCATACCATCTTGATGACTGTGGCTTTGTGGTATAGTCTGAAGTCAGGCAGGTTGATTCCTGCAGTTGCATTCTTCTTTCTGAAGATTACTTTGGCTATTGGAGGTTTTTGTATTTCCATACAAATTGTGGACTTATTTGTTCTAGTTCTGTGAAAACTACCGTTGGTAGCTTGATAGGGATTGCATTGAATCTATAGATT